GGGACAAGACACAAACAAATCTAAAGATATAGAACACATAGCACACAGTTTACAGAACCAAGGCCTTAAAACAACAAAACATACATCTTCACAGAAACACGCAAAAAACAGAGACCACCATCAACAGGTGAAACAGCAGCCTAAAGACTTAATGATCAAAAAGAGAACAAAGATAAATTGGCTTCCTGTTGTAGTTTTTAAGGAGATTAGATTTCAAGAAGGAAAATAATAATAATAATAATAATAATAATAATAATAAATAGATAAATAGCAAAAAAAGAATAGCATAAATTTCACCTTTACTATTTGAAAGGTCATTTACAAATAATAAACCCACTGTAAACATTGATTCAATAAAAAAGGACATATTGTTAATCATAATATTACTGTTGTACCATAACAATTGACTTCGAATTTCATGAGATAATTCTGGTTGATGGTATTGGTGTTGAAGCCAACTGACTATAACTTCTTCCAAGAAACCTGATAAATAAGGAAAAGCTTTTCTCTTCAACAGAGCAAATTGAGAGGCAGTTAACTGAAAGTAAGGATAAAGTTGTTTATGAAAAAGAGGATGAAAGGTTGTTAATAGCTTTGCTGAAAACCATTGGGGATTTGAGTTAAATTTGGGCACAAGGGATGCCTCCAATGCAAAGTTAAGTGCTCTGAGGCTCAATAGATTAAGCCCACCATGGCTGTAATCGTTATATAAGTAACCACGCTTTATTTTGTCTGGCTTGCCGCTCCATAAAAAAACAAAAACCATTCTTTCATATTTTTTAAAAAGATCCTCCTTTGGTGATGGTAATGCCATAAAGATGTAAACAAACTGAGGGATCACTAAAGAATTTAGCACTATTATTTTCCCATAAACAGTCAGACTAGCCATTCGCCAGGCTTTTAATAATCTGTCGCTTTTAAGAAGCTTTTTTTCAAAGTTTTCTTTTGTTATATGTTCCATATTTCTAGGCACATGTATACCTAGGACATCTATAGGACCATCAGACCATTTAACTGGTAGGTCACAACAAAACTCAAAGTTGGAGCCTCTTAAGGACCCTATACGCAGTAATGTACATTTTTCATAATTGGGCTTCAAACCAGAAATACTAGAAAAAATCATTTAACTCATTGACTAGTGCAGTAAAAGTTGTTATATTTGGTTGTATTTGAAAATTTACATCATCCGCATACATTGAAACTTTTGATTCTAAAGTAAATATTCTCAAACCTTCAATTTCACTATTTGCTCTCACTTTTTGGGCTAAAATTTCTATAGCTAGAATAAATAAGTACGCCGAAATCGGACAACCCTGTTTCAGTCCTCTGTGTAACTTAATTGTTTCTGAAAAAAATCCGTTATTTAGGACTTTATAGTTAGAATTACTATAAATTACTTTAATCCAGTTAATCAAAGAGGGTCCAAAATTAAAATATTCTAAACATTTATAAATGAAATCCAAACGTACTTTATCAAAAGCTTTCTCAAAATCGACAGAAAAAAAAATCAAGGCAGCAATGTTTTTCTGGTCATAATATTCAATTACTTCAATTACTTGTCTAATATTATCGGTAATAGATCTACCTTGCAGGAATCCACATTGATCTGGGTGTATGATATTTGGTAATACTCTTTTTAATCTATTTGCAAGGCATTTGGCCAATATTTTTGCATCATTACATTGCAAAGTTATTGGCCTCCAATTCTGCAATATAGTTGGATCCTTGTACTGTCCATTTGGATCCTGTTTTAACAGCAAGGAAATTAACCCTTGCTGTTGAGTTTCTGACAACTTTTTCATGCTGTATGACCAGTTGAAAGTATTAAGCAGAGGTATTTTAATGGAATCATAAAAATATATTTTTGCTGCATATTTAAAAAATATTTAGTTGATCTCTCTCCTTTTTCAACCCATTCTATTCTATTACCCAGGTAAGTTATATTAGCTTTCTCTGTATATAATCGTTCTAGCTCCTTTGTCTTGTGTTCCAGATTGACCTTTAGTTGGCCTACTTCTAACTCATTTATATTATTATCAATTTGTTGTGTTAATGCTTCTATTTCAGCTATCAATGCTTTTTCCTTCTCCAATTGATTTTTGGCTTTTCTAGAACTGAACTGTATACAGTGACCCCTTAGCGCGCATTTAAAAGCATCCCATATAACCAAAGGGTCAGCAGTGCCATTATTTATTTGAAAAAAATCATTTATAAATCCGTTTGTTTTTTCTATAAAATCCTTATCTTTCAGCAACTGCTGATTCAGCTTCCAATATCCGGGTCCTCTGTGAAATGTTGTTGTACAGACAGTCAAAGATATAAAATGGTGATCAGACTTAAATCTCTCTTTAATTTCAACTTTCTTAATTAATGGTACCAAAGAAAAAGAGGTTAAAAAATAATCTATTCTGCTTGCCTGATTTCCTCGTCTCCATGTATATCTTATTTGTTTAGAATTCTGCAGCCTCCATATATCTATTAAATCCAATGAGGACATAATATCGGAAATAGCATTAAATGATTTGGCATGGTAATTCTTATTTTGTGCGCCTTTTCGATCTAAAACAGTATTATAGTCACCAACCATTATCAGCCTCTTATCGTGTAGCTCTTTTTCTTGTAATATATTAATAATGTTTTCAAAAAAAAATGCATCATCCGAGTTGGGTGCATACAAATTTATCAAAACAAAATCTATACTATCTACCAAAATATGCTGTATAATATATCTCCCTGTGTGATGTGCTACTGTTTCTTTGACCATAATATTCCCTTTCTTTTTATACATTGTCATCACACCTCTAGAACTGGAGCACCCATGAGAAAAGTAAATCTCACCCCCCCATTCTCCTTTCCACTTAATCTCATCTAATTGAGTAGAATTGGTCTCTTGTAAACAAAATATATCATAATTTTTATCCGCAAGCCACATGAAGACATCACCTCTTTTCTTTTTTTCAGCCAATCCGTTACAAATAAAAATTGATATCAATAACTCAGACATAATGATATGTTAATTAACAATTTCCATTCCGGGTTTTTGGGAGTGAGACCCCTAAAGGGAGCAGCCGAAAGAAGAAGATGTACAATAGAGTTGGGTTGATTTTTGGTTTTGCTGGTCCATTCCAGTAAACGAACTTAACCCAGTTTGATATTGTGCAGACCAACTTAATTTTTTTTTTTTTTAAATTTTATATACTTTATTAATCCCCCTGAGGGGAAATTCAATTTTTCACTCTTGCTCTCATTAACACACAGGTCCGAAAGACACACACATGCAGAAACAGGACCTATACATGCACAAAGTGGAGAGCAGTTGGGGGGATTTGGTGCCTTGCTGAAGGGCACCTCGGCAGTGCCCGGGAGGTGAACTGGCACCTCTCCAGCTACCAGTCCACGCTCCATATTTGGTCCGGACGAGGACTCGACAGGCGACCCTCCGGTTCCCAACCCAAGTCCCTATGGACTGAGCTACTGCATTTGTCACTATGACACACGTTCTGACAAATTAAAAAGTAGCCTATATCAGCAACTTGTGCTGACAGCATCACAGCACTAAATCCAAATTGCATTAATAATAAGCAACATGACAACGTGATTAAGAGAATATCATGATTGTTTACAGACTGGCAGGGCCACTAGTGTCTGACAGTCTGAGCACAATTTACTGAGCCAAGGTCGGCAACATGAAGCAGATTAAAGTTCAGTAAAAGTGGGAGGGGGAAGAGTGGCACCCTTTGTGTTTGTTTAATGGAAAGTTCATGTGTTTTTTTTGAGGTGACGTGAGGAGACAGATTTAGTCTTAGAGGAATAGAAAACTAAAACAAAGCAGTATGGCGACATTTTGGATTTAAAGAAGACAAAAGTGTTGAGCCACTCATTAGCACTCTGTCAGCATCTAGTGTATGTTAGCTTGTGGTTCCACTATGCCAGCTATTCCTCCCCCCCCCCCTTCTGTGTGCCTTTTATACAGAATGGCGAGGCAGAATAACGGCACAATATTCCCATCTTAAACACGCTATGTAAAAGCGGCTTCGGCCTCAAAGATTTTTTCACCGCCTCAACCCTAATCTAGAATTAAACTAGCTGAACTGACTTTGTGAAGTCTGAAACCCGCTCAGTGCTGCTTGCAACTTTAATGTTGGGTCATTATAACTGCTTGCTTCTGTTGACCATAAAAAGTTTGAACCTTCAGTCCCTACTTGCAACTACATTTTTGCATTTTGTTGCCAAGTTATTTTAAATACAAGGATGCATGGCTCAACATCATGATCATCTTTCATCTATCCGCTCCACTGTTATTTACCCTGTTGGCAGTCTTTTGTCATGCATATTGGTAAAAAGCTGATTAGAAACCAGCTTAAGTGTACACATGATAGTGAACTGGGGTTCTCAAGGAAAAATCTAGGTTTCCTTAATCCCCCACCCAGATTAAAGAAACCAGGTGTCTCCTTTACATGAACTTTAAAAATCAGTTTAGTGGTGAAAGCTGACTGTAACCTGATTATACTCAAGTGAATGTAAACACACTGACTGAAACAGTAGAGCCAGTGGTGTTAAGAACATACCGTGGTGCTGGTGCTTGTCACTGCCGTTGCTGAGGAACTCCACGTTGTATTTGGATCCGTCTACACCCAGCAGGTCCTGCTGTTGCCTTACTATCTCTTCCAGAAGACGGGAGTTGTTCTTCCGAAAAATACCTGAGTGAGAAGGCAGGAGAGGATGATAAATACATCGTTCAATCCAGAATAAAATGAAAAAGACATTTTTTATTTATTTTGCTGAGATGCTGGAGGTGAAAGCAGCAGAGGATGAAACACTGCTGCTCTGACCAGCTGTGGTTAGACACATAGGCACAGTTCCCACAAAAGTATGGAAGTGCTAAATTAAATGATCAGGTGTCCTGTTTATCCACAATCAGAAAGAACAGCTCTAACATGCACCACCGACTCAAAGTCTAAAGTACTTGTCCATATCACGTATTTAAAGATGATTCCCCTCAGACAGATGCATCAGTTTTAAAAGAGAAGACAGGAACAGGGCAATATTACAGGGGAGAGTCTTTCACTTCATTCATAGGGGTGAGCATGCAGAAAAGAGAATATATTATGAAAAACAGGCTTGGGTGGCATCAAGGTATTACAGTATACCATGGTATTTAGTAATCTCTAAGGTGTAGTTTTCAATACCACCAAAAATACAGACGCTTCTCACTCTATTAAACTGACATGGAGATGGATTCTCTATCTGGGTATTGTAGTGCATGGCACACACCATTTAAGGTCAGCGTCTACTGGTAAAACAGATAACTGAGCTGAGAAATATGGTGACTGCAAGTGGTGGGGATAACGTTAGAGGACTAGTAAAAAAGAAAAATGCCGTATAGATCTCATAGCTAATTAATTAAATATGACTATAAATGGAATAATGAAAAATAATGCCACATTTAACTTTATCTTGAGTTGACTTCTTCCAAATACAAAAGCAGTTTACCAGCCACATGATTTTTATTTAACTGCCAGTCTGCCACGACAACTTGCACATCATCTCGCTTTGGGCCACCAATGTGTCATATCTGCCGTGGCAACAAGTGTCATCCAGTGAGAATCTATGAGGGAAGGATGCTTATTTCCTATGCCTGCATGATCCTGTGGGCCATAAGTATTTGAACCCAGCAAGACTTGTCTAAGTTGGCTAAATGCATATTAGACACACAGTACTGTAGGCTATGTCATACATGTTACAATGACTTCTATCACCAGCAGCTCAGCTTTATAATATCATCATATTCCATATACCCTGAAGAAATGTCAGGAAGGTATGAGAAATATAGACACTACCCAAGCCTTGTAGATATTTAAAGTATAAAGTGATAAAGCAGGGGTTTGCATGTCCAATTTGCATTTCTGTTTAAGCCCAGCTAATGGATATCACAGCTTGTGTTTTAAACTGGGATCGTGTCCCGGCACCATCTGAACTATGAGTCTCTGGAAGAGGCTGGCACAAGTCAGACTGTGTGTCTCAGGAAAATAATTTAGATCCAAATAATATCAGATTTCAACAAGCTAGGCCCAGTAATTAAGTCACATTTCCGTTTCTCACAAAATGAGCAGTGTCTGCTTAACTTTACAGCTGAGGAACATAATGTGGAACAAACTAATATAACCCTGTGCAGTCACATGACGTTACTGAAATAAGACGGGGGAGGGAAGGATCATTTCTTACTGTATACAGCTGTTAAACATTATGAAAGTCACACAAAGTTATCATATCAAACTAATCAAAAACAATGGGGCGGATGAAAACCTTGAGATAAGAAAATAAGTGTAGTTTAAACAGGATATCATAGGAATTTTCTCTGTGCACCTGAGCCATCTGGATTATATTAGAGTTTTGCACACTGTTGCATTTTAAGACACTTTCATAGCGTTGAATTTACTTTAATACACATCAATAAGACATTAGGACAGTCTGTCCCTGTCAGCTGCTGCATGCTGTACAATCTGGAGGATGAACTTTGAATGTGAGGAATGGAGAGTACGAAAATAATGTAACTTAGCAGCATTTTTATAGAAAGGTTAATTAAAATGGGAGTCTTTATTCGGCCAGCAGAGACACCGAAAAGAGGTGGATGGAAAAGGTGAAGCGTAAACGTTTACCGTGGTTATCATAGACGCTGACATATGATATACCGACAGCCATACACCACACCACCAGGTTTGCTATGTCCGTATAGCTCGGCTCTTCTTCCGCTACCAACAGGCCGATGTGAACCGGCAGCTTCTCCAGAGACCTGCCGTCAGACAGCCACCGGGAGCGGCGACTAGCAGTGCGGTTTCCAGTTACCGGGTTAGCATTAGCATCGGGGTTCTGATTCAACTTCTTCTGGTGGTCCGGGAACCCAGCCAAGGCTACCGGCAGCAGCAGAGCGGCCATCGCCCTCTCCCACAGCCGACCCTTCCAGCTCCGAAGCCGGACACGGAGCCAGGAGACGAGCGCTCTGTTGATGTGGACCAGAACTAGCAGGAACCGCCATAACAAGCCGTACAGCAGCGCCATTGGTGTCCTTATTCCTTGTCGGTAGGGTCTTAAAGGGCAATAGTCAGAATTAGCAGTGCAGGCGCTTTACTCCTCGGTATTATCTGCCTGCTAAACCTGTTTCATCGTTGCCTGAAGCCCTGTCAGCCAGCCGCCATCTTCCTTTCTTGTTGGCAACCCCTGACCTGTGAACCCATATATGTGAACCCTGACCGTCATACACGGAGCCCGCTGATTGGACGAAGGAAGAGTGACGTGCTACTACAGCCGACTGAACAAGACATCAAGCCAGGCCAATAAACACGTAGCTTACTGTCCCTATGGGTTCCCTTCAGTTTTTAAAGAACTGTCATTCTACAAAAATTAGCATTATTAGCTCTAAGCATATTTTTTTATATATTTATATAATATTTATATTATGAATAAACACACATCAGAAACATCTTAAACTAAAAACAAAAAAGTATTCTTTTAAAATTTTACATAGTAGTTACCCAGCTAAGGAAGTGTTGTAGAGATTTAAGCTAAATATAGATTATACATATGCTTTCTGTAATTCAAATAGACAATATTTCATTTGTTCTTTCACTGTGAGCATTCAAGTTCATCTTGTACAGATATGCAGACTTTATAAATAGGAAAATGGACACTAATATACAGTTCATATACCGTAAAACTTCATTTATTAGCCCAGGGTATTGTTTGCTTAAATCACTGAAATCAATATTTGGGACAGGCCTTTAAATTCTTTCACATAATACTGTTGCTCAGCAAAGATGGACAATACAAACGAATCATTTATTTAAACCAGTATGAATATTACAAATGTAAAAACTAGGCTTCAGATAACATATTAATATGAATCAAATATAAATCATTTGATCTAGCTCAGACAGACAGCGGATCAGAGAGAGAGAGTGAGTTATTGTACTCAAGGATTACAGCGCCTGGCATACTGACACAACACCATTTTATCCTGTTAAAACAAAACTCACAACTTGGATTAATTTTCATGAAAAACCCTTTTGATTGTTTTGATCTGAGGACCCTTACGGACTAAAGTAATATGAATAACTTATGGGGTAATTGAGGAATGGATGCATAATCAGAGGTAGCCAAAACATACTTTTATACATCTGAAGAACTTTAATAAAAAATGAACTTCTTGGCAACCAGACCAGGGGTCTGTTTGAGACAGGCGTTTATTTGTCAAAATGTGTAGCCACACCAGGCTAGTAAAAGGGACTAAGCTTTTAACTGAAGTTTTATGGTATTTGATGTGATGTTTTATTTTGTGTTCTATGGGATGGATAGCAATATCACCTACAGTATATTATTCAGCTTCTGATCATTCTTGGTGCATTTCATATCCACAAACTGAATAAGTCCTGTTTTAATGGGTTTATTGTTGAACTCAAACAGCATGGTGCCTTGCTAGAGGATGTTAAGAACAAAAAAGCTACAGAGACTTTAAGTATTTTAAAGGAAGTACATTTTCTTAGAACTCTGAAAGGACTTAATAGGAATAAACTTTTAATACCTCTGTCATGATGTTGTTTTCTTGTATGACAATTGTTGCAGCCTATACCTCTTTGTTATAATAAAAGTGTTTTAAAATTTTTAAAAAAACATAATGTGTTACATTTTATGTGGTCATTAAAGTGGAAAACCATATCAGTTAAGAATTTCAATATTTTATTTCCATGGCCAAGGAAAGTTTAATCAATTTATATTTATGAACATGACTTACTCTCTCTCAAAGGCAGAAACCAAAGAAGCAGGCTAAGTCTCAAACCTTTGTGGACAATCTCAATCTTAAGACCTATTTCTGTTCAAATGCTGATCTAATGACGTTCAAATTCTGTGAAGCTTTACTTTACTCTGTATCTATTAATTTCAGATTATTTGATCCGGAACAAGTTGAGAGAAGCTAGTTTGTGAGGGAGAAAGACAGTGCAGCAGCTCACTCGTTCACTTCAAAGAGCCTGTCAGGCTTGTTGTTTATAAAGGGCGTTGCTATGGCTACACCAAACTTTATATCTGCGGAGTCTATTCTGGGTCCATGTTACAATATCCAGATCACGTGATGCGATAAATCAGCAATGCGATTCGTCGTTGAACCCACTAACAACAGCTCAACGCTAAATGACTTATTGATTTTACCATGGGTGAAAGTTCTGTGCATGAACAGACTTTCTTCTTACAGTCACAGCAAGCTAGGGACTGACAGGCAGCTGCAGATGATGGAGAGATGAACAGTGCACACACTACACTGCACGAACTGTGTCTGAAAGTTGTGTGTGTGAGAGAGAAAACCCATTTCATATTCCAATACTGACTCCTAATATGTTCATCACTTTAATGTGTCTGCTGGTAAAGGTGGAGCTCACTGTAATGACTTTATATAGTGCTGAGTAGTTTAATCTATAATAATACATCATCATTTATTAGTTGATTACATGTTGTATTAATAATCTCATTCTTCAAAGCAACTAAAGCTGTCAAATAAATGCAGTGGAGTAAAAAGTGCAATACTTGCCTCTGAAAGAGGAGTAGAAGTACCTCAAGATTGTACTTAAGCACAGTATTTGAGTAATTGTACTAAGTTACATTCCCCCATTTTTAACATAAATTAAACTCTTGTCAATTAATGTTTGACAATAGCAGTTGCAATTCTGTTTCTACCTAAAACTCATACTAATTACTAACAGCTACTAATGTTTTTACATCATAATTAATCTGGAAAGTAGCCTCAATGAAATGTTTAAGGTACGCATTTCAATGTTTTTCATGATTTAGAGCTTGTATATATAAAAAGAAAAATCCAGGGAAGGATCCCTCTGACAGAGGTCTGGGCTAGGCCTTGGATGTCTTCAAACCCCCCAAAAATGCCCCTTTAGCTTTAGATAAAAAAAATAAAACTGTGCACATTATAGCTTACAGTTGTAAAAAGTAAAATAAAAACGGTCACATTAACTCATATTAACAGTAATCTTTGGTGACCAACCAACATCTCTTACTGCCCTCCATTCAAAGCAGTCTAGAACCTGCATACAGTGTTCCTGCAAAGATTCATAGAAGGATTCTTGAAAGGCAGACAGGTAGAGCTGGATGAATGTCACGTTTTCACCACAAGAGGTCAATGAAGTCTGTCTGCTGGCCTCCTCCCCAACCGGAGCAAAGGAGTGGATACACTCAGACACACCATTCAAAGACTCGTCACTTGGTGACAGCAAAAGCCACTGCATGTTAGAGTCAGGGGGGCATGTGTACCTCCCGTAATACTTTTATAAATAGCTTGAGTCTTCGTGGAAAGAATATAAGGATTTTGAGTACCTGCATTTTTCACCTTGATGTTTTGATGTTAAATAATAGTGAGGTGCTGCTGACAAATAGTTTTGGGATGTATTTGTGAGGATGATCTATCATGCTGCCCTTTAGACCCTTAATGTTTGTTTTTGCCTTATTCAGTAAAGTTAGACAGGACTTGGTGTCAGTGTGTGATGTCACCATATTTCATACATACTTATGAGATTATATAGTCCTCCTCCAGAGCACCCATCAAGTAAACTAAAGGGATTTATTCACCTTTTTTAAAAAATATTTCTTCTAGCCAAGACGACATATATTTTAGATATCAGACTTAACAAAAGAAAAGCAAACCCTGTAAATGAACCACAAGAAGCATGTATAGATTTTCAATGATCTGATCTTTATTATGTCTTCAGAAGGTATGGCATTCAACTTGCTGCTTCCCAACACCAAATGTCTTTATCTCTATGTGTTAATGCATTTAAAGTCAGCGTCAGATCATTTCAGAATAAAGAAGCAGAGCATTTTAATATTAGATTGCAGCCTGTAAGACTGTCACTGTTGAAACAGGTTCTGGGATCAGTCTCTAAAAAGGTTCCAGGGGGTCCTCTTTGGTTTTGTTCTGCTGTACACCTTGCAGTGATGGAGGTACACTCTCCGGGTGTCGAATCCCAGTCATACGAGTGACATACAGGTGAATGTAGTCGGTTTCTCCAACTTGAACCTGCAAAAAAAAAAAAAAAAAAAAACAGAAGAAAATTGGACATCCAAAAATATATATTCATCTGGATCTTTTGATGCTGAACAGTGAAGATCTTTACCATCAAGGATGTGTATAACTGCTGTTCACTGTCCTGCCATGAATTCTAAGTGTCATAGGTCCAACTGGATGTCACAGTTAATTCAAAATGTATGTTAAACAAAGACACACATCTGAGGCAGTCACAATATTATTTACCTTGATGACAAAGTGTTCTCCTCCACACAGAAACTAATTCCTGTATTTCACTGCTTTGTAAACTGCAAAGTTTTGGCCTGTTTGTTTCACCACCTCTCCCTTCACCTGTGTGTTAATGGAATTAAATATGAGGTCAATCCAGACTGAAATGCAAACCAAAGAGTTGTGTGAGGAGGTTATGAAGAATGAAGAGAGACTGAAGCTCACCTTATCACAAAATTCCTGAGTTCCCTCATTGGCATCCTTTGTCTCGCTCCATGCAAATAAGTCCCCTGGCCCACCTGAAGACATGTTGGCGATTGTCTCACGGTCCGTTGAAGTTAACTGAGAAGTCAACTGTCTGCTTCCTCGTTACAGTTTCACCTGTTATCACATATGCTTGTATTTATAAATAGTAACCGCCCCTGAAGAAAACCTGACAGGTAGCTTCACTACATGTTGGGTGGAGCTGAATATGTAACCACAGCCCTCACATGAATTTCTCTCTCATGAATTTCTTTCCAAATTCTAGTTGAGGATTTGTTTTTTATTTTTTTAAAAAAAAAAGGCTGTTTCAAATCTTATGATTCAGATTTTTATTGTGTCGTCCAGATCTGAAATTCAAATATTATATTATTTTGATGAGTAATATGCTTCGGTTTGCCTTCATTCCTTTTCCTGTCTTTCTTTCTTTCTTTTCTTTTTTGGAACCTTGATTTCCATTTTTTGGGCGGGAAAGACGACTGAGTATTGGTCCTCAAGCAGCATGAGGAGTCATTCACTCAGCTCTAGCTTTGTTTAGAGACGAATCAAACTAAACCATTTTGCACCTTTAAGGGGTGACAGTGGTCTGAAAGAGCCTCCAGTATTTTTTTTTTTCACAAAGTTCAGTCTTTCAACCAATTTATGCTGCTGATTTTAGATTAGTTAACAGACAGAAACAAACTTTTCAAGGCCCCCCTCCAGTTGGGGCCCAGGGTAATCAGTCCCACGTTTCCCCCCTGCTTTCCTTGGAACTGAAATAATGTTGTTGTGATTTGGCAGATTGCTGTGTGGATTACTGCCGTGCATGCTGCATCTTTTTTCTTGGTGTTAACTTTTAATTATAGAGGCCAGTAACATGGTGCTGTGTGTGGTGATCCTGATTTGCCTGTTTTATAAATATTCTGCCAACTTTGTTCAGCTTTGGCTGCAGCAGCACCTGTTCCCTGATATCTGGAGAGTCTCGACTATATTGTCAGATTATTATACTGATGTTATTATGAAAAAAATATCATAAACTCACTGTTGAGTAGCCTCAAAAACCCACAGGTAAACACACAAACCAGTAATTATATAAGGTTATGGAGTTATGATATGAATATTATGAATTACATGCTATATATATAAATCTTTATTTCAGACCTGTAGGTCCATAACACCCACACACAAGGCGGCTGTCAAACGCCATTACTAATATATAGGCTATAACGCCAGTGCTCTCTGAGCCTAGATGTGTACCAATAACTGCTTCTCATAGGGCTGGTTAGAGCCTCTATGATACTGTTCTCAGACACATCAAGGCGAGACATAAAATTGTACATTAATTGTCTTAAAAGAGCCTCAAATGTAGGCACACCAGCAGACATAAACAGTACACTGGCACTATGCCATCTGGGAATGTGAAGCAACAGCCTCATAGCATCATTGTATGCCACTCTGAGCTTCTGCATACTCCTCACACTGTACGAATGCCAGAGATGAGCTGTATACAGAGGTGTGACATAGGCTCTGAACAGTGAACACTTAACATCAACAGAACACATTTTAAATTTCCGCAGCAGCATATTGGCCTGTGCATAAATTTTACAACATTGTCTGTAAATATCTCTGTTGTCTGTCAGATCACCAGTGAGGACATGCCCGAGGTACTTAATTTCCTTGCATATCACGAGAGGATTATCACACAGATGAAAAGTAGGAAAAGATCATTTCCTGTCTTCTTTACCTTTTACGATCATGATGTTACTTTTTTTGCATTATATTTGATGTCAAAATCTTTGCCATATTGTGTGCAAAATTTCAATTATTGTTGCAGTCCAGCACTGTACGGACTATTACCACGTCAGCCGCAGACATGAGATGATTGACAACAGTGTCACCCACAAGACAGCCAGTGTTACACCCATTCAGCTGTTTTGACAGGTCATCCATATAAACATTAAACAAGATAGGGGATAAAAGTCCACCCTGGCGCACCTCATTGCTGACATGGAATGGAGCAGAGATGTTGTTACCCCATTTCACCTGGAACGTCTGGCGGGCATAACACCTCTATCAATCAATTTCATAAATAATTTAGCATGGTTAACTCTATCAAATGCTTTAGATGCATCAATGAAGCATAAGAATACTGAAGAATTCTGGTGTCTGTATTTGGCAACCATTTCCTTTAAAGCATAAATACATAAATCAGTGCTATGTTTTCTTTTAAACCCAAAGTGATTATCCGTAGTGATCACATACATTTCTAGCCTAGTAAAGAGGATTCTTTCCAAGACTTTAGACATAAATAAAGACATATAATGTGGTATTCTATGGTATTCTGTGGTATCAAATTTAGCCTGATATATATGGGTGAAAAGTTGTGTGGATTTGAATAATGTTTAACAGCACAGCATGAGTTTGTAAGGACAAGCCCACTGGCAGGTCTGTGGTTGAAGAGGTTCATAATAGTGAGTTGTACAGCTTCAGAAAGGCAGTGTAATCTAAAGGTCATAATCAGTCAAGAACCTGGAGTGATGCCAACAGCAGCCTTTTAGCTGGCACAAAATTTGTGTTCTTGTGCAACCTTTTTCTTCACGCATCCTGCCAACTGAAACCATACGCCCAGGCCTGCAGCTGTATCCCACATCAGCTTGCACAATGCTCTGTGCTAAATTCACTTTTTATAAACCGGTCAGACACTTCTCTTTACCGACATTCATGTCAGCACAGCAATTAATCTAACGTCCAAAATGCACTACCGAATCACATCTCACGATCAAGTCAGGTTTCTGAGCACTGACAACATTTGTCTCCTAACACTAACACTTAATCACTCATTACACAACTATAAAAACACTAACAACCTGTAGCATTACAATATCTGTCACTAGTGTCTTGCGACAATATTGTAGGGTTGACTATCAAACAGGCGGCATGGTGATGTGGTGGTTAGCACTGTCGCCTCACAGCAAGAGGGTTCCCGGTTCAATCCCAGGTGTGGGAGCCCTTCTGTGTGGAGTTTGCATGTTCTCCCCGTGTCAGCGTGGGTTGTCTCCAGGTACTCCGGCTTCCTCCCACAGTCCAAAGACATGCAGGTTGGGGATAGGTTAACTGGTGACTCTAAATTGTCCGTAGGTGTGAATGTGAGCGTGAATAGTTGTCTGTCTCTATGTGTCAGCCCTGTGATAGTCTGGTGACCTGTCCAGGGTCCTGCTTTCAATCAATCACTACACAATAGACAACAAAATACAGCTATCAGTATGAACCTGTCTACCTTGCAGTAATTTGTGCTATATGCCGGTGCTATTTATTGATACTTATTTATACATAATTATAGTGTATACCAAAGAAAAGGAAAGTGAGCATGTCATAGCATGAACTGTGTTCTTTTTTTGTGACTCTGTGCCGGCAATAGCCATTGCCGAAGGCATTATGTGCTTGGGTGGGCCGTCCGTACGTTCCATTGTTGTGACCAAGTGATGAAATTTTATATCCAAAAGGTCAAAGGTTAACTTCACTGTGACATCATAATGTTTTGTGTGCAGGTTTTCCTGTGTCTTTCAAATGTTGTTGACATGTAAAGGCCCTGACACACCAAGCCAACAGTCGGCCATTGGTCAATGTTAGGCCGTCGGTGAGCATCTGCCAGCCTGGTCGCTGCGGTGTGTCTCGCAATGTTGCCCCTCATCGGCCCCAGTCACCTTTCTTTTTGGCTGATTCAGCATGTTGAATCAGTGACAGCGGGGCCCGTAGGTGAATGACATCACTCTTCCTTGATTTTGAGATGCACCAGCAGTTTCATTAAGCATGTCTCAGCAATTGAGAAACTGTAAAAATGTCATAATTCTGGAGGGACTAATTATTTTCTTTGTTTATTTGTACTTCTGAGCACGAGATGGAGTATTGATTGTTAAAAATTACAGGGCCGCCATAGTCTAGTCAATGTATGGGAAACACTGCATGAGCATTCAGAAAAGTATTAATGCTATCAGGGTTTATTTAAAAGGGTGTTTGTGAACACAGCCCTTAACTATTGTCGTCTTCAGTTCACCACCATATTTAGAAGGTCAGTTTGCGAGACGCATTCAAATATTCAAATTGCTCTTAATTTAAACACTAAGACGGCTCGACAAAGCATGACACTTCCGTAGTAGTATTATCAGGGTATCTACACAGTGAGTGCACTAAAGGCTGCATTTCTTAATCTGCGAAACTTGTGCATGCTTGGTTTCTTACTGTATCGTTTTCTTTTATACTGTCTATGTACCGAAGCCCTCCAAATCAATGTACTTCTTGTAACATTAGGCTACTAGCCACGAACACCTGAGGTAAGTAATAATAAATTAAATGCAGTCCACCTTCAATGATGACAGAAATACAGCTAGTGATGGCAAGTGGAATCAATAACACATTAACTCCGTTAGAGGTGTGACAGTCAGTCAATTCAGTTTACCGTGCATCCATCTGGGGGCCCCCTAGTGGCCGCGGGGCCCTAAGCAGCCGCTTAAATCGCTTATAAGGAGGGCAGGCTCTGTCATCTACTACCTGTGTTGCTATCCCGATCCAGTCACAAACCAGCTTATGCCAACCGCCAAGTCAAAATCACAAATCGTAGTCAAACGGTGTTGAATCATGTTTCAAAATAAAGTTCTGTTTGTCACTTTCCTTATTATGGACACACATTTCACACAGGGGGAGACAAAGCTGAGGAAAGTTTATAAATAATAATTGTAATGGAAATCTCTGTTTGTTAAAGGTATAAGTCAGAAATTCAAGTCATGAGGCGTCATATAATAAAATTAAGAGGAACAAGTCACATATATGAGAAGAGACATCATTTTGAGATGGTTTAGAGGCCTTAGTCAAAACTGAAACATATTAAACAAATAAATATTATGAAAACCCAACTATCTGTAGTTTGACTTTTATCTTATAATTCGTGAATAGTACATTGTAGCTCTACCTATCTATCAGTAGGCTACTAAAGTGGAGCGGATAAGTGACATAATCTTTCAGTTGGTGATACAAGCGTGGAAATTGGTATGAGCAGTCTCCATGGGTCACTTGACAAGAAAATTGCCGGAGCCAATTGAAATATCAAGATGGCGGCCATTTTTC